AAAAACATTTATTCAACCAGAGAGAATCGATAAATGGTGATGTGCTGATATAATTGATCAGGTCGTAGTGATACTGGTGGAAAATGAGTCTAGAAGAACTCCGAATCAAAATAAATTTTTCGTCAATAAGAGGTATTTCTGCCTTCTAATACCTGATTGCAAGCATCTTCAAATCCTCGACAACCAACGACAAAAGCGGAATTTCGTTTGTACGTTTTCCCTTGCTTCCCTGTAGGACCATCCAATTCCGTGCCAGTGTCAAATCGCAAACAACTGAAGAAAGCAGACTTCAGAGACCAATTAATCGACAACGTTATTCGGCGTTACTCCACTTTCTCCTTCGCAAAAATCTCAAGATTTGAATGTTGCTTACTTTGCCGGGAGGATTACTTAACATGATGATCTATGCTTCGCGTGAAAGCCCTTATTGCGGAGATACGGTAGGTGTACGGTGTGTGCTAGGGACTGTCAAAAACGTGGATTTGCGTGAAAATCTCTAGTGGGTTACCTACCTGTTGGTCACGAACTTATCCATTCCATATGTTAGCTCTTGTTTTATTATTGTTTTACGATTTTAATCTCTACCGTGCATGTACCGTTTCTCCACAGGACTAATGCTAAATGGATTTGTTATTTATAATCAACATGTCAAATACTCCAGTACATCACTAACTGATAATCGGTGATCGCATACCCACTGTATCTCTTCGACAGGGAAAGATACTATGAATTTTCAGTGTAGCGAATACCATGTGAAGCGGTTACGATATTCGTCAGCAGTGCAAATAATCCCCGGACAAAGATTCAGCGAAGTCCAAGATTTTGTGGGTCAGAGAAAGTCTAGCGCCCACCAATCAATTTCAAAGTAACCACCTCAAAGTCGACGTGATGTTGAGATCGATTCCGGATTTGTTTGAGAATATTCTGAAAATTACATTATAGCAGTGTAATATGTAATTGCACAGCATACACCAATTCGCTATATGCGGACTATGTTTAGACTGCTCTTAGC